CCCCCTTTCGAACCGAAAGGCGTTGGGGGCCTGCAGCCCGGTTCGCACGAGGAAATAACAGCGTTCCCCCACCTGCGGGCAACTCACGGCGACGGCGATATGTTATGAGCCTCTGCAAAAGGGGATGACAACGTTGAAAGGGTCCTGCGATAAAGGGCCCACCCAAAACCTTTTCATTTCGTTCAATTTGAAGGATAAAATTACAAGCACCGTAACTGAATTTATTGACTGACCAGAAAGGCGAGTTTGTCATTCGGCCGTCACTGCGCCGTGAAAATAACGCTCAGGTTTTTTTTTTGTCTGCGGACGCTGCGGACGTTGTAAAATAAACGCGCTCGGATCGCTGCCGTCCCGAAAAGGGCCGACGGGGTTTTTTTTTTTTTTTCTCTCTGCCCTCCTTGTTTGCTCACGCTGCCCGGTCTCTTTTTGCACTGCCGCCGCCCTGCACATGCTTACCTGCATGGTTTCCCTATCTGCTAGTTTCTCTGGGCAAACACGCGCAGAATGGAATATTCCCCGATACAAAGACAACAATAACACGGCCACGCATCGCCCCATCGCCCGCCAGAGCGCCGCGCGCGCCGCGGAGGTTCCCGGAACTTTTCCCCTGCCCGTTCGCTCAGCCGTGGCGCAACCGAACGCGAAACTCGCAAAGGGCAGGAAATAAATGAGAATCCCTGACAGTCGCGCTCCAGCCCGGCAGGCAGGCAGGCAGGCAGGCAGGCAGCCAGGCAGCCAGGCAGCCAGGCAGGCAGGCCCGGCGGCGTGGAGAGATCCGCAGTTATCAAATCGGACGGCGTAAAATGAGAGCAACACGCAGCCCACCCACTTCTGGGAGATCCTCCACGCGTGGCTGCCAGATCAAGTGCGCAGAGCACCTCTTTTTTAAAAGCGCGTTTTTCTGGAGCAGCGACAATGGAGTCATTGGGACCGTGCTCGATGCCACCACCTCGCACCAACCTGCAAATTTTCTTTAAAAAAAAAAACCTATTTTGTGTGTTGTGAGGCGCCGCGGCTCCAATCGTCTGTGACGCCACACGAACCCTTCCGTTCCCTTTCTCAGAAAGGCATCTGTTTTCTCTCTTCGCGTGCTTATTTTGCTGCCCTTTCTACCTATTTTTTCGTGTTTTTTTTTCGTGTTTTTCTTCCCTATCCGTCTTTGCGGCACTTGGCGTGCTGCGCCACTGCGCTCGCGGCGCGCACCGCGAGTTGTTCTGCCGAGACTCATTGCCGAAGACAGCCGCCATATTTCCATCTCTTTTCCTCCCCCTCCCTTCCCTCCCTCCCTCTCCCTCCCTCCATATGCATCCTCCGCAACATTGACGGTGTGGAGGGGGCGTAATGATGTCGGCTGAGGGTGCCTTGCCAAAAAAAAGGGAAGAGGAACAAAAAAGTTTCACCGCAGTTTGGCGGTCTGGCGGGAGTAGAACCCCGGACAGCTGCCTCGTCTAACGACACTCGCACCGATGTCACCGAGCAATTTTTTTTTCAACAGTGTGGGGTGGAACGGCCGGCCAGACAAATAGAAACTCACCGGCAATGAATTCCGTGTTTGCGTATTCAGAGTGTGTCGGCAGCGCAGCAGGCTCTTCATTCTCGCTGCATCTGCCGCGCCGTGATATGTATATTTTAGTTTGCGTGTATTAGCTTTAAACTGTTTGGGAACTCACTCTGCTGCACCGAGCGGTGGAAACGCACTGGGAAGCAGCCAGGCGGGCCTAGGGTGGTCCAAAAAAAAGTGAAGTTGCTCGGATCGTCCAACGCCGCCCGGCTTTGGATTCTACATCGAAAAATATGAAATACGTGTTTTTTTTTTCAAAAAAAATGATTTTTAGGACCTCCGCAGAGCCCTAAAAGTTTTAACAGTGCTATAAATAGGAAAAAATCGTAACTTGGTCATTTTTTGACCGTTTTTTTAAAAACGAAAGGGGGATTTGTTCGTTTTGAATGCTTATTACGAAAAAAAATATCCCCAAACCCTCTTTTTGGTTTGTCTAACTTTCAGGGGAAAAAAGACTAAATTTCGGCCCAAATTGGCAATAGTTTCAGTTTGTGGGCCGCTAAGCCACTCCAAGTGCACCTGTCAGCAGGGCGGGGTGACCCACCACAAGGAAAGCCCCATGAACAGAATTGGGATCCGAGTGAAATTTGCCTACCCCCCAGGGGCATCAAATTGTGGATTTCTTCGAAAATCTATCAATACTGATGTCTCTTGGGGCCTCTGGGCACTCAGATGGGCACACTTTCACACGGTTTGATACCCACCTACGTGATATGAACGTTATGGACGTTGTTGACGCGAGGGACCGCAAACCACGCAAGGCCACAAGAAAAGCCATCAAAATGAAGGAATTTTCAAAATTTTTACGTTTTTTGGTCCTGAGAGGTAGGCATGAGGTGCTCAACAGTCCTTCCTATTTTTTGTTCTTTTTACGTAGTGGGGGACCAAACCGTGTAAAAGGGTGCCCATCTGGGTCCAGAGGCCCCAAGAGACATCACTATTGATAGGTTTTCGAAAAAAATCCACAATTGATGCCCCTGGGAGATAGGCAAATTGCACCCGGCATCCCAATTCTTTTCATGTGGCTTGCCTTGTGGTGGGGCACCCCGCCATCCCTGCGGGCGCACTTGGAGTTGTTCTGAACGGCCTCATTCCCTGAAACAGCCGCCAATTTCCAAATTTTTCTCCCTTTTTCCCCTCCCTTATGCATCCCCCAACATTGGGGGTTTGGGGGGGGCGAAATATTGTGGGTTTGCCAAAAAAAAAAGGAACAAATTTCCCCGTTTCGGTCTTGAAAATCGTCAAAAAATGACCGATGTTCCCGAGCTTTTTTTTTTTTCAACAGTGTGGGGTGGCGGCCGGCCAAAAATAGAAACTAGGCAATGAATTCCGTGTTTCGTATTTTTGGGAGCGTAGCAGTCCAAATCCGGGCCCCCGGCCCCGTTATGATTTTTATTTCGTGTAACTTTAAATTTTTTTTGGACCACCCCTAAGGCCCCGGGGGCCGCCTTGCCGCCGCGAGGCTGCGGCTGCACGGAGGATCGTGGCCCAGAAAGCGGCGGCAGTGTGTGTGTGTGTGCGTCGTAATGTAAATGACATCGTTAAGAGCACAAGAGTGGCGAGACATTAACTTTAAGTAGCGACTGAGCTGTGGCTGCGCAAGAAGGCTATGCAGCTCGCCGAGGCTCGCCGAGGTTGGATGGAGGGCCCCCGAATCATTATGCACGCTCCGAATGGCGACAACAAAAGTAGTTCGTCGGCGGCTACACTGTTAGAAATTTCCGAGTGGCTAGTGTAGGCCCCTTCGCTCGCTCCTGCGCCTCTCCTTTTGAAACTTGGTCGAACTGCGGCGCTGCTGCCAGCAGGGCGATGATTCCGAGAGTCGTTATCGTCGCTCTGTCTCTCTCGCACTCATGGAGCGTTCCGTAGAGGTGTGAGAGAGACAGAGCGAATCTCAGTGTGCAGGTCCTCCAACTTGGCGGACCGTCCTCGCAGCGGGCCAACGCCGCGCCACCTTTGCTCTCGCAGTGGGGCGGCCGTGCCAGTGAAGTGCCAGCAGTGCCAGCGGTAACGAGGATTTTCGTTTGTTTGTTGCAGTGCAACGCGGCCGTCGGGGTGAAGGCGTTCTTCGACATGATGCACAAGGGGCCGCCCAAGGTGATGCTGTTCGGGGCGGCCTGCACCCACGTCACGGACCCCATCGCCAAGGCCTCCAAGCACTGGCGCCTCACGCAGGTAAGACGCGGCGTGTTTTTTGGGCCGCAAGGAAAACAAACCGTCAAAACGAAGACGGAAAAAAAATGGAACCGGGAGGCCGCGTCGCTCTGACGCAACTTGTCGAAAACAGGCGGCCTGGCACGTGTGGGGCTGGCGCCCCTGCCGCGCGCGGGCTGGCGTCGGGCCACGGCCCCTCGGGGCCCCCGGGCCGCCCCGCCCGGGCCCGCCCCGTCTCGGGGGCCTCAAGGCGTTCTTTTGACGCTGGCTCTGGAGAATCTTGCAGAACCCTGGAAAATCCTGGAGAATCCCGACCGCACCGCCACACTGGAAAACCTGGACGAAACAGAGAAGCGCTGGCTGCGGAGGTAGGCCTCTGCACGGTTGCAGTTCAGCCTGATGCGGAACAGTGCTTCGTCGCTCTGTCTCTCTCGCTCTCACGGTGCTCCCCGCACAGTGGGCCAGAAGACCGGTGGAGGCGGCCAAAACTCTAGACGCGTTTTGAGCAGCAAAGTCGCTAAACAGGGCTCGAACCGAATGTGTGACCCCACCAATGGATTGCTCTCCGAACGAGGAATCCATTGGTGGGGTCACACGTTCGGTTCGAGGCCTGTCTAGCGACTCTGGAGCTCAAAACGCGTGTAGAGTTTTGGCCGCCTCCACTGGTCTTCTGGCCCACTGTGCGCCGTGAGGGTGCGAGAGAGACGGAGCACTGAGCCTGCGGTGCGGCGGCCGTGCGGCGTGTCGGCGTGAGCGCGGTCTCGTCTCGGTCTGGCTTCCTGTCTCTGCGACTGCTCCAAGTTCTGACGGCCAAGTTTGCGCCACGGCCTTTGTTCCGCCCCGTTTAGAACGTTAGCCCGTCACGAACACATCGCCGCGGTGGCCGACGCCTGCCGACGCGGCTCGGCCGGCTGCTGACGTGTGTGTGTGCTTGTGTGTGTGTGTGTGTGTGTGTGTGTGTGTGTAGGTGTGTGCGTGTGTGTGCAAGGGAAGACCCGGCACACCTGAATCTGTTCGAAAACTAAACTAGGCGTCGTTCACTTACGCACTTTGGCCGCAAGCTGTGGAATGTCTTTTTCGCTATGCTTGCGCTGCACAGTGTGAAAAGATGCAGTGGGCGACCAACAACTTCGAATTTCTCATCTTTTAACGATTTGTTGACGTTTTAGCCGACCTTTTTATTCCTGTGGCAGGCGTTGCAGGTGCACTGTCCGTGCGGCAGGAGGAGACCCCGCCACCCTCCGCCAGTCTGTCTGTCCGTTTGTGTGCCTGTCTGTCTGTCAGCCTGCCTGTCTGTCTCTGTCTGCCCAGGTCTGCCTGCCGCCGCAACACCGGAGGCTTGTAGTCGGAATCCGGCGTCGTCGGGACACACCGCCCCCTCCCCCCGGCGGGCCATGTATATTAATAGCATCATTCATCAGGGGGTTTAGGCCTGGCCCCCGCTGCACCTCACTGTCTGGGAGGGGGAGGGGAGGGGAAGGGAGGGGAAGGGTGGTCAAGACAAGGCGTGAAACTGCCGCCCGAGCAAAAACAGGCAAGGTAAATAGACGGGCTTCCCTTGGTTTTCCTGGGCGGAGCGTCGCCGCGGCGGGGCGGGGCGGGGCGGGGCGGGGCGGGGCGGGGCGGGGCGGGGCGGGGCGGGGCGGGGTACGGCGGGGCTGTGTTTGGAGACCATCTCTTTGCCGCTCTTTGCGGACTTTGGTGTTTCGTGCTCTCCGAGCTGTGATGCGGCACAAACAGGCAGCCGCCATAAGCCCCGAGGATCCCCGCCGGCTCGTCATTTAGTGTTTAGCTGGCGTTTTTACGCCCGCGCTTCGGCATTCGCGTTTAGTTTCCTTCCATTTCATTTTTGTCTTCTTTTTTTTTTCGCTCTTGCGATGTCACGGCGACAAAGCGCGTCGGTAGAACGGTTGGTCCACTCAATGAAGCTGGAAATTAATTTTTCGTTCCTCGACGACATTGAAACAAGAGAAACACGTGATCAATCGAGTGAAATCGAAGAACAGTTATTACTTTCCTCACAATGTCTTCCATCGCACCCCTTTATTTGTTTATTTGAGCGGGTAAGAGTGACGGATCTGACTGATCGAAGCACTCCGGGTCGTGGGGTGGCAACGAGCCCACCTCAGCCTTGACGGAGGGACTGTCGCACACATTCACTACTCCGCCTGATTCGTCCGTCCGTCTGTCTGTCTGTCTGTCCGTCCGTCTGTCTATACAAAGGTCAGATCTAGAGGGCTGCTGCCCTTCTATTGGCTGCCATATCTTTGCCGCTCGGCTGGCGTTCGGCTGGCGTTTGGCTGGCGTTCGGCTGGCGTTCGGCTGGCGTTCGGCTGGCGTTCGGCTGGCGTTCGGCTGGCGTTCGGCTGGCGCTCGGCTGGCGCTCGGCTGGCGCTCGGCTGGCGTTCGGCGGGAAAGCAGCCAACGCGGCGGCTCGGAGCGACAGCGGACCAAATGGCGTCCTCACTTCTTTCAGCCCCTCAACGGTGCAGGGAAGTGCTGGCTGGCACCAGAGGAAGAGAGAAAAATAAAAAAGAGGGAGAAAAAGCGAAAGTGCACCCACACCAGCTGGGTCGAAAGCAAACGCTGCCTCGCCCCTCATCTGTGTCGCGAGAGGCGCGCTGCGCAAAAGTGCAACCGGACAAAAAAAAGAGGACCTGTCTGTTTCTTGCGTGCCTTTTGTCGTCGTTTTCGGCTGTCGTCTCTTGGTACTGTTGTTGGCGCTGTTTCTAGTTGTTGTTGCTGCTGTCGTCTAGGTGTGCGCAGGGCACGCCGTGTCGTCCGCTGACTTTGGGACGTATTAGTGCTCAACAGGTGCCATTCAATGCTTCAATGCAAAATGCCGAGCTGGGTTGGGGCGAGGGGGGGGGCGTTGTGCATGACTGGACATGTATATACACTGTACCGGCACCTCCAGCCCGAGTACCCACAGCTGGCTTGCTAGCGCCCGGCGGGCAGGCAAGCTCGCACCGCACAGCACGCGGGAGTCGAGCGGGCTGCCTACCCTCTCCACTGCAGGCGCTCCGGGCCTGCCAACATTTATTCCCATGCAGAATGAAGAAAAAAACAGTCGCGCTTCAACTTTTATGACGTGAGGCACTGACTCGCCCCTGTTTCTGTTGCAGCTGTCGTACGCGGACACCCACCCCATGTTCACGTCGGAGAGCTTCCCCAACTTCTTCCGCGTGGTGCCGAGTGAGAACGCCTTCAACCTGCCCCGCCTCAAGCTGCTGCAGCAATTCAACTGGACACGCGTCGGCACCATCTACCAGAACGAGCCCCGCTACTCCCTGGTAAGACAGACGGAGAGTCTCTCTCGCACTCATCCGGCGTCCGGTAGAGGTGCGAAAGAGGCAGAGCGACGAAGCCCCTGTCCTTCGAAATCAGGCAGCAGGCCTCAAAACCAATTCCTCCTCTCCTCCCTTTTTTTTACTCCAGCGCGCCACCAGCGGGCTGAGAGCCTTGAGACAGCCGCTTGCAGCCTGGTTTGTGGCTTTACCTCTGAGTGCGGACGGCTAACGTACTTTGGCCCTGCCCAGGCCCTTCGGCCCCCACGGCCCCCCGGCCCCCACGGCCCCTCGGTCTTGGTGTGCCACTGCGTGCACGGCCAGGGAATTCCCAAGGGTGGACTGGGGGAAGCGTTCGTCGCGGAGGCCCCCCCCCCTCTCTCCCTCACCCTTCCCTACGCCTCCAGCTTTGCCAAGCCCGGCACGGTCCGGACTAACGTTGTTTCACGCTGCTCCGACGTAGCGCCAACTTTGATTTGGGCCGTTCGGCAAAATTTTCAGCGTACTGCCCCGTGAAATACCCCGGTCACCGTCAAAGGAGAATTTTTCCCCCACGACCCCACAGAAACAGGCGCTCCGTTTATTCTGTTAACGGTTGAAAACAGGGAGAGGGAGGGGGGAATCGCCGTCGAAACAAAAAAACTCGGTTACACTGCGCCAGACTGCGTTTGAAGCTGTGCAACGGTTTCGGTTCAAACGGCCCTTTCAGGCTGGCAGCGTTTGCTGCGTCCGCGCCTCTGAGCACACTGTGTCTGCTGGCACACTGTGCGGACCTGTTTCCGGTCTCGCCCGCGGCCCTCCAAAGTATTCGCGCAGAAGAGGGCGCTACTGCCACGCCGCGCTGCCGTTCAAACTTCCGCAGTAAAGTATGTGGGATAAGTTAATGCGAACTTTGGGGTCGAGTCGGACTATTATTTATGGCATGGACGGGCCGAAGCGCCGAGGCCGGGATGTGCACTCTCCGCGCTCTACACGGCCGCGGCCCCGGCCCCCTTCCAACCGAACGCAATCTCACAATCGAAACAGTTACGGGATGAAAATGGGTTGCGCGCGCCTCGCGAGGCCGAGCCCGGCCGGCTGTTGTATCGCAAACAAGGCCCGAGCGAGGGCCGATGGCACAGGCAGAGGCCAGCGCCTGTCCATGGACTCGTTCATGGACGTCCACGCGGCCTGTGGCTCACTCGGCCTTTTGGCCTCCGCCTCGCCAAATTGAATATTATGGCGCGCAGTATCGACCTACAGGCGGGCGGCCTTCGGGCCGTGGGCCTTCGGCGTTCGACAGCGCGCCTTGTTAGCGTTACGTAACGAGGTCGCTGCAGCCAGGAACGCTCTGTCTCTCTCGCACTCATGGGGCAATCCGTAGGGGTGCGAGAGAGACAGACCTACGAGGGGTCCACCAATCACCAACCAGTGATTACCTACAAAAATACTCAAAAAAACTCTATAATTTTGGCCAGTTTAGGTCCTTTGCAGTGCATTTTGCAGTGCACTTTGTTGTGGATTCGCCGTTTATGACGGTGTGGTGGCGGCGCGCCCGCCGTCGCGGTTCATTTAAACTCGAAAGGGCGCGACGACGGCGGCGGCGCGCGGTCGAGGAGGAAAAAGCGTTTGATGAGCACCTCGCCGGGGTTGGCTGGGCCGCGGGCTGGCTCTGAACAACAGTGCTCTCTGTCCCTCTCGCACTCGCGGCCTCGCGGGGCGCCCCGTAGACGGAGACAGAGCGACAAGCCGGAATCAGCCCGAAGCGTCACTCCGGGCGTCTTTTCCGCCTCCCTTTGCTGTGCTCGCGCTGCTCGTCGGAGTTTGCGCGCCGCGGGAAAATATTCCATTTCAAACTTTCATTCATTGTAATCTTATGCATGGTCTTGGCAACAATTCGCTGCGCCGCGAGGCACTCCAGTCGGGGACGTTGCATGCGACGCCGTCATGCTTCAGGCCGCGCGCCTCGCCTGCCCCAGCCCAGGCCTACGGCAACGCGTGGCGTCACAATCCGGAAAAAAAATAGAAAAAGAGTTGCATGCACGCGGGTTCGAACCCCCGCCCCTTGCCTCGTCAGATTCTGCAGCGGGCGGTGCAGCCTAGTTGGAAAGCACCTCCACTCCAGCCGTTAATTTACTCAATCTGATTACCGTGTGGTTGCCGGGCGGCTTTGCCGGTCGGCCCCGCTCGTCGCTCCGGTCGTTTTACCTTCATCCCTTCGGCCCCGCCGCCCATCCCAGACACTGCTATCGTCGCTCTGTCTCTCTCGCACTCATGGGGCGTCCTGTGCGAGGGAGACAGAGGCTGCTGTTCGGAATCCAGTCGGCAGCTCTACTGGAGGTCGCGTTACCCTGCCCTCCCACCGTCCAGCACACCGCGCCGCCACGCCCCGCCACGCCCCGCCACGCCCCGCCACGCCCCGCCACGCCCCGCCACGCCCCGCCACGCCCCGCCACGCCCCGCCACGCCCCGCCACGCCCCGCCACGCCCCGCCACGCCCCGGTGGACTAGCCTCGGACTGCTGCTAACGAGGTCCCAGATCTCGTGTGCCCTCTGATCCTCGCTCGCCCTGCCCGCCCTGCCCGCCCTGCCCGAGCCGCTCGTCCCCCCGGGGCCTTTACGCCGCTATATCAGACGGCGGTAGCGCGGTAGCCGTGTGGTGGGGCGGGGCGGGGCGGGGCGCCCCCGCGCGGTGCTTTGAGTCGGCCTGATTGGCATAGCGACGCCCCAACGACCTTCCCTGGAAAAGAAAGCAATCGCCTGCACTGGAATCCTGGAGTCCTGGAATCCTGGAGTCCTCGAGCCCTGCCATTCGGGTGTGCCGCTAAAGCCACCAGCCTGGCCGGCCCGGTCCCCGCCCTCCAGGCGGTCTGCAGGCCGGGGTGGCCGGGGCGCGCCTTCCTCCAGTGGCCTGCGCGCCTCCAGCACACATGTCGCCCTCCAGGCGGTCTGCAGGCCGGGGTGGCCGGGGCGCGCCTTCCTCCAGTGGCCTGCGCGCCTCCAGCACACATGTCGCCCTCCAGGCGGTCTGCAGGCCGGGGTGGCCGGGGCGCGCCTTCCTCCAGTGGCCTGCGCGCCTCCAGCACACATGTCGCCCTCCAGGCGGTCTGCAGGCCGGGGTGGCCGGGGCGCGCCTTCCTCCAGTGGCCTGCGCGCCTCCAGCACACATGTCGCCCTCCAGGCGGTCTGCAGGCCGGGGTGGCCGGGGCGCGCCTTCCTCCAGTGGCCTGCGCGCCTCCAGCACACATGTCGCCCTCCAGGCGGTCTGCAGGCCGGGGTGGCCGGGCGCGCCTTCCTCCAGTGGCCTGCGCGCCTCCAGCACACATGTCGCCCTCCAGGCGGTCTGCAGGCCGGGGTGGCCGGGGCGCGCCTTCCTCCAGTGGCCTGCGCGCCTCCAGCACACATGTCGCCCTCCAGGCGGTCTGCAGGCCGGGGTGGCCAGGGCGCGCCTTCCTCCAGTGGCCTGCGCGCCTCCAGCACACATGTCGCCCTCCAGGCGGTCTGCAGGCCGGGGTGGCCAGGGCGCGCCTTCCTCCAGTGGCCTGCGCGCCTCCAGCACACATGTCGCCCTCCAGGCGGTCCGCTCCAGGCCCGCCCCGCCGCCGCGGCATACTAAGTGGCCTGCGATGTGCTTGGCCTAATATCCATGGTAATGCGGTTGGCGATTGGAGCCGCGCTGCCGGTTCTGCTGCTGTTGCTGGTGCAGATGCTGTAGTGCCTCGTCCTCTCAATCATTAATTCGCCCGCAATTAACTTGTGGACGCCGCGCTGCGCAGCGCTGCGGAGCGCAGCAGGCGGGGGCGGAAAGACGCAATGGGGTGCTTCTGTTGTACGCCGCGAGTCGCTGCAGCGGGCGCTGCGCTGCGGGCGGCGTGGGTTCGACTCCCGGCGACGGCGTGGGGGGGAGACTGTCGCGGAAAATGTTTTCGAGTGTCAGGCGCTGCTTCCGGCGGCGCGACGGCGCGAAAGGCGCAAAAGGCATTCTAATATCGGCCGGCAACTTGGGCCATTCGGCCATTCGGCGTGCTCGGCCGTGCCATGGCCGCGCCGCGATGTCGTGTCGGAAGTGCTGCCAGCCCTGACTGGCCGCCTTGGCTGCCAGCCCTGACTGACTGGCTGTGTTGCCTTCGGGCCCACGCCGTCGTCGCGGCAGTCGCGCTACCTTCGCCGATACGAGGAACAAGACCTATTTTGCCGGGAAGGAAACTTTTCCTATTTTGCTGCCGGGGTGTCCTTGCCAAGGTCACAACAACGGCTCCCCGGATACCGCGGCGCCTCGCTTCCCTCGGACAAACACATTGAAACACACAAACCAACACCTACGGAGGGAAACGAACAAATCAAATCAGTGGCGGTAGCTTTGGCCTGAGCTCGCAACAAACAAACAGAAACCTCCAGTTCTCCAATTGCAAATTATTGAAAGCGCCTCGCGACTGACCCTCTCGCCACCCGTTTCTTGGAATGCACAGTGGACCAGAAGACAGATGGAGGTGGTCAAAAACCCAATCGTGTTTTGAGGTCCGGAGTTGCTAAATGGGGCTTGAACCAAACGTATGACCCCATCAATGGATTGCTCTTCGAAAGAGAAGTCCATTGGTGGGGTCACAAGCTCGGTTCGAGTCCTGTTTTGCGACTCTGGAGTTTTGGCCGCCTGCGCCGGTTTTCTGGCCCACTGCGGGATGGCTTGGATTGAGTCGGCTGGCGAGAGGCGCAGGCCCCAGGTCGCCGGTGAGGGAGGCGGCGCTATCCTCTCCTCCAGCTTCTCCAGCGACTGGACATACTCTGTTGGCCATGACGTTGACGGATCGTGCCCGCTCTCGTATACGGGGGCCCCTTTTTCGGCGCGCCACCGCGCAGAGCACACACCTACTCTCTCTCTCTCTCTCTCTCTCTCTCTCTCTCTCTCTCTCTCTCTCTCTCTCTCTCTCTCTCTCTCTCTCTTACACACACACACACACACACACACACACAAACGCACACCGTCCGCTGTGCAAACAGACGAGTGTGTGCGAATAATTTCTTGAGTC